ACTGTTCACACAATTTTTTGAAAGGATTTTTTTCCAAAAAAACCGCAGCCAGCCTACTTTCACTTCCGAAAGACCAGCTTTTGAAAAAGTGATCAGAAGAAGATATGCAAATTCCTGCATATCTTAAGAAAATAAGGCTTAGTCTAGATGTACCCCTAGGGTTCCTATATAGCACATGGGGAAGGGGGAGGGTAGATGCCTATGAATGCCATCTCCAAAAGCCAGCCTGCTAGGTGTGCGAGATGTTCAGAGGACTGAATGTGCTAAGCCCTGCTCCTCTTTGAGAGAAGCATCTCAGTCCAGACTGCAGAGACTCCTTGTTTTTCTTAGTGTTACATGAATGGGAATGTGTCTCCTGACTTCAGTGGCTTATGCACCTCTTGTTGGGCTCTCCACATGAAACAGGAGAAGAAAGGAGCGGTCCCCACCTCTGCAACTTTTAGCCTAGCAGTTAGAATACTCAGCTGGGATGTGGGAGATCCAGGTTCAATTTCCCCCTCTTTCACAGTAGGGAGGATTTGAACAAGGGGTTGCATAAGTGCTTTAACCATTGTTGGACTATAGACTATTCTGATGTGAGGGGTCCTTCATTCTTTCCTGATGAAACCATTCCATTGTGGATAAATAACAGGCGAGATTGAAAATGGGATAGGACCCAAGGTCTTCTATCTCTCATGTGTGGCCAGTGGCATGGGAATATTTTAAAAAGTGGGGGTCCTGCAGCCTAGAGCAAAGCTGTAGTACAAAGGGCCAATAGCCAGGCTTCTGGGTACTAGGTTCTTGGCTGCTGCCCTCTGCACCAGGGGTTCTGCCACCCTGCCAGTGCATGGTGGGGGGGCAGTCTAACCAGGTCCTTGGCATGGGGGGGAACAGCCAAAAACCCAGTGCATGTGGAGGCAGTGATCGCCCTAGGTGCAAGCCTGGGGGTGCTGCAGCACCACCTGCACACTTAGGTCCCACACTTGTGTGTGGGTGCCCTAATCACCAAGTGACAGCATCTCTCTCTCTCTCTCTGGTTTGACCCTTGTCATTAAAATTGTCACCTAGACCAAACCACAGATCAGATATGCTTCATAAAATGTGTACAACAAAGTGTTAGGTATATGGTAGAAATTGCAGGCTGAAAGGAAAACCAGTGCAGATATTGAAAAGGGGCAGAGGAGAGCTGAAGGTGTTGGTTTTAACCTGTAAAGCCTTAAATAATTTAGGAGTGGATTACCTGCTGGAGCATCTCTCTTGAGGTGCCAAATTACTGCCCTTGAGCACAAGTAACATGAGCTAGAACTTGCTAAATAGAAAAAGGAGGAAGCTGCTACCAGCCGTGGGTTATGTTTTTCTGTGCAGCCATTTGTGGAGGATTTGAGTAGTTGATTCATGTCCTTATTTGCCATGCAGTTTAAGCCATTGCAGCTGTAGAGAAGGGTTGCCGACTCTTGGCAATTGTGATAACTGAAATATTTGGTAGTATTTTTACAAGCCCTGACTCCTGGAGATTCTCTCCATTTTCATATTTGTTTAAAGTATAAGTTTATATTTTTTGGGATTGTACAGATGCTTGCATATATGACCCTCATTCACTCTAAAGGCTCTGACATCCATGACAACCTAAAATAAATTGGCTTAAAATATTAGGTTTTTTTTAATCATTCTTTACAGCTTTAATCATGATTTTTCAATACCTGGAAAGTACCAGTTTTTTACACAGCTCTATTCTGATCTAGCTACATGATGAAGAAATAACCTTTATGCCAATTTATGGCCAATATTTCAAAAGTATCCACTGATTTGGCATGCCTTATTGTCTTCAGCAGAGTCAAAAGTTGGTCAAAAATATAACACAACCTTTCCTCTGCTTCATATGTTGTAGAGTTTAGAGTGGGTTAACAAAACCAATAGTTATATTCTCTTTTACAGAAATCTGTAGCATTGATTTACAGAAATCTGTAGCATTTCTCTAGTTCTTTCTTTGCAGCCCATCATGCAAACCTTTTTACATTTAATTTCCAAGCATAACAGTGTATGAAAATGATCTACCCATCATCCTTTAAACAGTTACATTGTAAAATCTCTTTTAATA